CTTTTCGACCCGCGTCTCCCCTTAATTGAGCGTTTTCAGTTTTCTCTTAAGTGTTGCGCCCTTCTTTGCCGCCGTTAACTTGTTGGTTTTCATTTGGATGTCGTTTTTCAGTAAGGTGTTGGCGGCTGCCCACAAGATGTTGTGAAGCACTGTTTCTGGATGATGTCCTTTGCAACAAATGTCCAAATCTTCATTGTCAATTAAAAGATGCTTCACCACACTGAGAAGAAGCTGCCTTTGGTGCCGTGCTGCATGAAACCAGGCGGTGTTCTCTTTCGAGGTCAGCTTTTCTAGCACGATTTGTGTGTGCAGAACAGCACTTATTACTACTTGTTGGGGAAATTTTAGGGTCCCCCTTGTGAGGCCTTCGATTAGCATATCATCAACCATTGGTATATCCCTATCTTGTCTCGTAATGTTGGTCGCACAATCTTCACAGGGAATTTTCCTGAGAGCGGCTTGGGCGCAGTAACCTGCAACATACACTATTGCAGGCAAGCTTTCCTTTTTTGATTTCACGTCCTCTTCAGTCAACTTGATGCCATATTCTTCTATCACTTGGCTGCATCAAACACAATACTGCTAGGTTGGGAAAAACCAGCGAGTTCTGAAGCCTCAGTTTTGCTTCTGATTCAAATATTTGTTGGACGGAAATATGGTAGTTGGATCCACATAGCCGACGGTAACGACCAAACCTCTCCTCGAGGCTGTCTGTCTGAAACTTTGCAAGCAAGGCATATTCAAAACCTAGCTTCTCCAGGCAATACCAACTGACTTCGATCAAGGAGTACGACGTGAAACGTAGCGCCGAGTGCGTCTCCGTGGTTAACAGTCCTGCACGGCCAGGGTCAATCTTAAAGTTTTTCCAAGTGTCCAGCCACTCTACAAATGCATTAAGAAACTGCAGCTGCATGTCCTCCATACTTCTTACGGGTGCTTGAAGAGGATTTCTTAGGTGCTTGCCTTTCAATGGTGTTTAAGTGTTCACAACGCACCACCACTTGTGTATTAATTCAATAAATTCAGCAGTTTCTCGGGCACAACTCAAACCAAGCTTTGCACCATAAATTTTTAGTGCTTCTGCAATAAATGGACTGATGACTTTCAGTGCTAGCTTCACGTTTTGTCTTTCGATGTTAGAGGGGTTCAAAGCCTTATAAGTAAGTCGGTATCCAAGCTTCGAGAGATTGTGTTGCTCGGAAGCATACAGTTCACGAAGTGTCTCAAATGTTGCTTTCTTCACTTGCACCTGTGATGTCGTACTCGAAAATTCGGGATAAAAAATGGAACAGCCTTCATTTTTCTGGTTCAACCAGTTGTTACGGATGCACTTTAATAAATGCACGGTATCGACAATAAAAAATAGCGGCCTTGAATTGTCTGCTGGATGTGGGTACACAATGTCTATTGTGTTGTTTTTTGAAAACAATGACATTACTTTTCGGTTCACAGCATTGTTATCAGTGATAACGGAAATTACTGTAAGTCCCCGCTTTTTCAAGACCCAAAATTACTTTTTTCAGGATGTCGTGCAAATGGCTGGCTTCAATGCTGAAAACAGGAAGGATGTGTACCACAACTTTGTGCGCAGAAAGCAATGAATTTGTCATGAACACGTGTGCTGTTTTTGCCGCTTCAGAGGAATTCGATGCCGTCCCTGTTAATGAGCCACCCTTATACTCAAAATATTGCTGGGTGTGGATTTTATCTAACATGAGCGTTACGACTCTTTCGTGCGGCTTTAGAAGGCTCACTTTTTTTGTAATGTACTGCAAAAAGCCTTCATCGCTTTGTTTGTTTGCAGGACTTGCATTGTACTTGCTGCACAGCCTTAATATTGTGGAAGGATGAGGTAACATTAATTTCCCCGTGTTGCGAACGAATTTGTATGCGTGAGGAGAGATTGTATGAAAAATGCTAGCTAATATAAGAAGATCTGAAGAATATCTCATAGCTCCTCGCTCTTTAAGTAGAAGGTGCAACTGTTCCTTCATAAACTCGAGCGCTTCTACTTTCTCTTCTGGTAGGAGGTCACCATCAGACAGGTCATCAAAAATAGAAAAAATAATGTGGAAGCAGGCTTTAAATTTTTCTTCTTTTTCGCAGACGTCTAGAGCATTGAAATGCTCCACACTTTCAAAATAGTGTGCAAGCTCCGAATGTCCTCTAGTTTTTCAGGAATGGGAACATCAGCAATGTGCAGCTTCATCTTTTTCCAGTAGGCAGAAATGTGCAATTCATCGGAAACAACCACAGAACGTTCCACCTCTGGAGGTAGTGTGTTACTCTGAATTTGCAGAAACATAACTGCAGCTTCCGTGCTGCTCACTATCCAATAGTCCGACAACTTAAGTTATGAGAGTTGTGACACGAGCTGCTCGAAAGATGCCACTCTATTCTTGCGTTCCTCCTCTTCGTGCGAAACAAGCAACATTTGAATGCCCTTTTGTAGCTGGTCTGCCTCACGGTGCTTCCGTTTTGCGTCAGGCTCCTTGCGAACGGGAGCACAGTCGGATAGGTAAGCGGGGCTGTTCGGAAACATCGTCGGCACTGCATGTTCAGTTAGTCGAGTAAGGCTCATCGGAACTTCTATAGTCTTTCCGTTGCTATCCGTGTAAGTGGTGGTAATCCTCAAATACTCTGCTTTGAAATGAAGTTCGCAGACCTGTGATATGCAAAAGCAAAAAGAATGTTTTAAAATATTTTAGCTACATTTTATATATGTTTTTCTGCCTGATTACATTCTAGAACGTTATAATTAGCGAGGATTGAGATCTGGAGCGACGCTGCTCCGTAATGCACTGCACTAGCACAGATCTGCGACACAGAATTCGCTTTATGTGAAGGTTTGTCGGTAAAAATTTTAAATTCTTACGTTCGGATCACGCAGAGTGTCGATGTTGACGTCCTTGCGACGAATAGCACGTTTCCATTTTATCCTGCGGTCGTCTCTAGGGAAGGAGAACAAGCGGACCTTCGGTCCACCATCATAATTTCCACGACAGTTCGGCACGCAGCAACGACCCATCCTGTGAACTTCCTGGTAATTTCACGCGAACAAACTTCACTGCTTGGACTCCAAATTACACAGCCAGGGCCAAAACTTGCACATATCTCCGAAGAACGTCCACCAGCACTATTTCAAAATTCTTGTGCAGCGTAGCACCTCGCTTTGCCAGGGTCAAACAAGTTCTAACAGGCTCGCCCTAACGAAGGGAGTCACTGAGCCTGCATTCCCCAACCGGTCCTCACAATGCCCACCAGTTCGTCGGGCTAGGTGTGCTGACGTCAGACAAGGAAACGAAGGGAGTGAAGGGGCCTTGCAAATTCTAGGAGGCGCTGGCTGTACGCGCGCAAACCCTCCATTAAAAAAAAAAAAGATTCCTACGCGCTTTTCCTATGCCTGACCAAGACTCCTTTCATGTGCAGGGACGCGAAGTCACTGATCAGCGACTTGATGTGGCACGCAGTACATCGATTGGTCTAAACCACTCCCGATGACGAGCTATGCCTCCCCCCCCCCTCCCTGTGAAAGAGAAGGGTGGTGAGGCCATGCGAAAATTTGAAATCAGCTCCAACCGATTTTCTAACCCTTGTAACTTCCTTATATATCACGTAGTAGTGAAATTCTTGTGGTAGCATCTTCACAAAGCAAAAGTGCACATATTTCTCTTTATAACAATATTTAAACCTTGGGGTTATTGACTGGCTTTTTAAAAGGGTACTGGTACAAAAATTGCAGAGTGCTGTTTTTTGGCAGTGAAAGACCAAGCCTTCAAAGCCTAGGAAATCTACTGCTAAGTGTGAGTGCACCTTAAAAAAGTAATTATATTTTTGTTTTTAAAAGCTAGTTTTGGCTCCTACTGTACCCTGACATCACAGCAAAGTACAAGTTTCTTGTCACGTGCTCACGCCATATATTGTAACGTCGTCATGGCTACTTTGCGTTGGGCTCTGTTGATGATGCACAAGCAGCTATTTTGAATGTTTTGGTGATGTGCAAGTCGCTATTTTGGAAGTTTTCGTACCTGAGGTTATCGCAACTAGCCATCCTGTTGCGGGGAGTCACCAAAATTAGCAGTGTTGCACGCTGTCATGGCAGTTTCGATGTCTGTACATTCCCTATAGGAAAATTAGGTTTAATATAAAAATAAAATATCACTATTTGCTGAGCTTCATACTTGCTCATAGCCGCTTCTGTGTCTCAATTTGCATAACTGAGTAAACTTGGCTTCCAAAAAAAAAAAAAAATAAAAGGTGTCAGTACCGCTTTAAGGATTTTGTATGGAGTTTGCTTTGAGGAAGGACAAGGGAACTGCCAAATGAAAATGAACAATGCTGTTTGTCAGTTTCCATCGCATCTATCACGTATGATGTCGTCTGGCTCAAATTGTTTCAGCCAGAGGGATAGACTCGTGAAGGGGGACGCCTTGTGGGGCACAAATGTACAACCTGCCCTGCCGCCGTGGTCTAGTGGCTAAGGTACTCGGCTGCTGACCCGCAGGTCGCGGGATCGAATCCCGCCTGTGGTGGCGACACTTTCGATTGAGGTGAAAATGTTGTAGGCCCATGTGCTCAGATTTGGGTGCACGTTTAAGAACTCCAGGTGGTCAAAATTTCTGGAGCCCTCCACTATGGTGCGTCTCATAATCATATGGTGGTTTTGGGACTTTAAACCCCACATATCAATCAACTAAAGTACAACCTTCATTGCACATGCACAGCAAACAATTACCCACAAAGGAATAAAGCTAACAACAAACATATAGTTCCCCAAAAAGAAAGACTGTGCACATCCTAGCATTCGAGACTCCTACGCGCGTCCCTATGGTCCCACTTAGCAACTAATGTCTCTAGAATGAATGTCTTAGAACTAATGTCTCTATAAGGTGTTGGTGGCTGACGCTGGAGGGGTGCTCATTGCGCCTGTCCATGCTGTTGATTTTGCTAGTGTACTCCGTCAACGAGCCGACGTACACGACACCGTTTCCATACAGTAGTGGAGCTCATGGTGCCAGCAGGATCTCGGGGCACCTACAAGACTGCTCTGGCCCGTGTGCCGTGGACATGGCAGGCGGGTGTCCGCGAGCCTGGGCTTGCTCGAGGTTCGTGGCGTGACGCTGACCTGTTCTGGCCACTCACTACACCCCTTGCCAGCTGGACGACCGGAGCACGAAGACAGTAGCCCCTTGAGGTACAATTTTTGGCGGCTCTCGAAGCGTTCCCGTCCTGGGACAGTATCGAGGCTGCAACTACCACCCACCGTCTTTTCCGTCGTTTTCTGCCACCTTCCCTCGTGCGCGCGCTTCTCTATTTTTTTCTTTCAATTTGTTCTCTTTCTAGTGTGCTTTGCCTCTTTCTTTTTTTTTTCTTTTTTTTTTGCTCTTTTTCTTGTCATCCCTGACAATGGCCTCCCACTTTTTGAGTTTTTGGCCGCTAAAAACTGCATTCTCAAAGGTCACCATGCGATACATCCCTTCGCTGCGTTTCACCGCCCCGACACTTCACTGCATCATCACCGCACTTCCTTGCACTACACCACACGTTTTTCCACTACACCACATTTCGCTGCACATCATCAACACTTCAGTGGACGTCCCGGACACTTCACTGTGTTTCATTCTCCTTTCTCTGCAATGTCATACACAACCCAAATATTCAAAGGAATACCAATCATTTGCTCTGGTAGACATGTTATTGCCCAATTTAGCTCTGTTACACTCAATTAATCATTATCGTTGTAAGAAAAAATAGGTTTTGAACTATACACTGGAAAAAAAAAGAAACTGCCTGATGACTTTCCACAACAGATCACATACCATCTGTCTCAAGTTCACAACCAACCAAGCTGTTTACAAACTACTTAATTTCATTGTCCATAGTCTCGACTCCTTAATAAGCAACCGCTCATTCACCTGAACGCTCATGTTATAGCGCTCTATACCAAACGAATGGTAGATTTCACTGGCTCACAAGACCCATTTAAGGAAGACGTCTTGAAGCGTGTTCTGTGCGACGCGTGTCTACACGCCCGCATGAGAACATCAAAACGCTCAGCGCACTTCCAATACGTGACGCTGGAGTTGTTCAATCTGATGGCAAGGTGTTGCCTCCATGTGCGTCTAGACTGAAGCATCCGAACAACGCCTTTCTGCACAAGAACTTCTTCGCATGGCTCATGAGATTGTACCATACAAATACATTTATGTGAAGAGGCTTGGGCAACCCTAGACACCACACAAAACGAATCAGGTTCTTCCCTTCTCACACAGTCATGTCCTTGCCCTTGCCAACTTGTGCCATCCTCAAAGACTGTGGCTGTGCCGTGAGGCCACGGCAAGGCTCAAGACTAACATTACAGAGAGAATCTGTCTCAGTCATGCAAAAACTGTTTTCAGCAGACAAATCTGCCCCTGTATTGCACTCCTTGCAGTCAAACTTTATATCTTTACCTCTGGCCAGCTTAAACCGCAGCTGCAAATCTTCATATTCAAGTTCTTTCTGCGCTTTTTTTTTGAGCCTTTTAACTTCAAGCCTACCCTTCTTTTCACTCGTCTCCTGTTTCATCAGCTGCTGTCTAGCTTCTGCAATGCTGTTAGAAACAAGTAACTGCAGTTTCTCGTCTATAATCTCCATTTTCCTCATTTAATATAAGCATGCTCATCTGCTCCTTAGCTTTCTCCGCTTGCTCTATTGCAGTCTCCTATGCCTTAGCACGTTCTTCTGTCAGTCTGTTTTGCTCCTGGCGGTAAAGCTCAATAATGCCTGCCGTAGACAAACCTGTGGCATGTCCAGCTGCCAGTAACCGTTCAAAGTCCATCTCGCCCCTCAAAACAGTCCAGGGCACGTGACGAATTCAAATTAATCCTGGGCAGAATCGTCAAACGTCACTTATAAGGTCTCCCGGCTCGGTTTGTTTGAGCAAGCGGAATGGGCGCAAGAAGAGGGTACACAGGTTAATTGCACGATAGGGCAGCTGCGCGACCGATAGCCGTCACCTTCCAATCTGGTGTTCATATAGATGCGTACTGACTTGGAAAAGGGGACACACGTATGACGTTACTGCAATGGGAAGTAGTACAGTAAAACCTCATTAGTTTGAAGTGCCTCCTAATTTGAAGGATTTCTGCAGTCCCGTATTTTCCAATTTGAAGCAGCGGCTGGCACCAGTCCAATTTGAAAACTTTGGGTGCCATGTGCCAGTTCCAGACACCAATTTCACCACGAATCTACGGCAACGACAGCCAATAATTGCCACAAGGCAATGCAACGTATCGATACTAATGAGTGGCAGCAGAAGCACCCCAGTCTCGCTACTTCTAGCGAAAAAATAGAAAGAAAAAAAAAACAATTTCGTGGTCAACCAAAACGTGCGCCTGCTGAAAGTGAACCGTGCTTCACTGCAACACAGCGGCCACACGCGGGCAGCTTATTGCATGTTTCTCGCAACCTCAGCGAGTCATGGTTTACCCATTCTTTCTGGGATTGTAAAGCAATTAATAGAGAACAGTTTAGCGGGAATCGCAATGTATGCGAACGTCCGATTGCCGGTTGCTCCAGCAATTCGCGTCTTTGCACTGCTGGTGGAGTTTTTGCCAGCAACACCTACTTCGAAAGTTTTAAAGATCATTTTTTCCAGCCAAAACACATTGTGAGCTGCGTCATACTGGCCATTAATAAATTCATTATTATAACACAAAGTGTGTGTGAGTGGTCGCATCATGATGTGCTGATAAGCGAGGAGCAGACGACATGCTGCGTGCTTGTCACTACTGTGTTGCAGGGAAGATGTCTTGTTTTCTGCAGGTCCACATTTCAGTCGATCATGACCGCGTTTTCTTCTTCTTTTTTTTTGGCGGCAGCAGTAAAGCCATCCTTCCTCCATGTTCGCGGCAAAATAAAGACCAGGTATTGCTGGAAAACATAACCTTTAGAGCCCCAAGCTAGCCAGCAGAGCAAACTACGAGCACCGATTACTTCGAATAGTTCCAAGTTTCTTGCATCCCACTTTTTGTATGTTCTGTTAATTCGAAAACCTGCTTAATTCGAAGCTTTCTCGTCGCCCCAGTGACTTCGAATTAACGAGGTTTTGCTGTACTTAGTGTGTGGATTTTTGCCTGTGTATATGCTTTCTTGTATTAGCTACCCGTATCGTTCAGGGGAATGAAGTGTGTTTTTGTGCAGGGTCCCCCCCTTCTTGCATCCATTCTGCTTGCTCAAACAAACCGAGCCGGGTCACATTCTACATGACAGCATGTTTTATTGCTTTCATTTGGACTTTTTCGCTTTACACAAGGGCAACAACTTGGTGGCAACAAATAAGCCACTGGAATAGGCTCTATTGTACGGCACACGTCCATGCAGTCTTTCTTGAATGTTCCCAATTTACAGTTCCCTATTACACCCTACCTTGTTAACTAAAGGAACTTTGAACACTTGATTATCGATGTCAGAAGCAGTTGTAACTCATAAGTCACCCACCATGGTAGGGTATGATTCCCAGCCATGGTTGTCACATTTTGATGGGGGTAAAACAAACAAACACTCATGTGCTTAGATTTAGGTGCACATCAAGAACTTCTACAGGTTGAAGTTAAGAGTCCCCCACCATGACATGCCTCGTTCTCATATTGTGGTTTTGGCACATAAAATCCTAACAGTTAATATTATTATTATTAGTGTAATATTATTGGCATATAGGTACATAAATGAAGTATGCATTTCCCCCATTAAGTGTAATTGAAAAATTCAGTCTTGGGGACCTGCCAACACAATTGAGAAGCTCGCCTAATTTTTGAGACTCCAGCATTCTCCAGTAGTCTCACGCTTTTTTCCCCTTTTATCCCAGTTTCTGTTCAACTGCTAGAAGTGCATGTAATGCCCAGTTTTCAACCAGTTCATTTGTCTGCTCATAGACTCCAGAGGAATTTTTACCTACTGTGTACTTTTTTTTTTCCATGGAAATTGCAGTGCAGTGTTCATGAATTGAAACATGACAGTTTATGGTTAAAATGAACACAATTCCTGGCATCTTCATTTCGTATCACGTTATTGTTACTTCGACTCAAACGCTTACATCAGAGCCAACATTATCTTTAGTGGCCCAAATAATAACATGTGATGATTGTACATGCTCGTCACTATACAGTTTAACCTTACTTTGATGAATTCGCAGTGTGCCACAATTAGCACGTTATAACTGCTATTCTGCTATAGCCACAGCTGGCATTTACTGCAAATATGTGGTGTACTTACTTAAAACAAATAGTGTGCAAAATGGCATGACCTCATACAGTGGCACATAACAATATTACAGACTTCCAGAGAAATGGAGGATAAGTCGTGCACTTAACTTTATTGCACTTCAAAATAACAAACCAGTCACTCACGCAGACTTTACTATGAAGTCTGTAATTGGATGTCGGTGCTCTTTCCTGATGCAAACAATGGCCCGCTTTGCTGCGGCTGCTATGTTCACGCCATCTTTGTCACACTTAGAGCGATGAAGTGGCCTGCCGTGTGCGACAAGAGGCAGGTGGGAAGGGCTTTTTGCGTGTGTTGCTGCAGGATGCTTGATAGGAGTTTCGTGCTGCTAAACACAGTGGTTCCATTGTGCAATATCTCACAACTGTCTTGTGCACTGTCGTGACATTGGCTTAAAGTGTTATTTCCTTACAAAGTTTGTCCGTGGCAGGCATATTTTGCCTTGTTGAAATGAGACTTAAAATACATCGGGTTATGGGAGGAGTTTCAAGTAGAATTGTGATTTGGTCGTTATATCCATTATTTCGTTATAGCAAATTGCGTTATAACTAGGCTTAGCAGCACTAGAAGTGTACATGCACTGTTTTAGTTCTAGAAGCTCTGCTTGTGGGTGTTCTTGCTTTTCACCCCTATCAATGTGCAGCTACTGTGGCCCGGAATCAAACCTGCACCATCTTGCTTTGCAAGACACTGTCATAGTTGCAAAGCCACCATAACGAGTCATGTGCACTATATACTCAGCAGGCTTAAATTTCTAGACAGTAAAGACTACTTAGCATTCGTAGCCTGCAACATCAAATTTGATACTGATATATTGGGTTTAACGTCCCAAAACCACCAAATGAAATTCCAAATGATCAAATTCTCAATCCCAAGAGCAGTTTAAGCCGACCACTAACAAAAACCTATCATCATCGTATACCACACAAGCCCTCTTCGTGCTCCTTTTTCTTTTCATCCTCTTCGTCATGTTTTGTTTGGCTCTCAGAACATGCGCCCTGATTGGTTCAATGTGGATTACAGTAACTGTGTTGGGTGGGAGAATGAGTGCATGAAGAGAAGAAAAAAAAAAGAGAAAGGAAAAATAGAGAAAAATGAAAGGCAAGAAGCATGAAAAAAGAAATAGATATAGAAAAAAACGGGCACATGAATACATAGAAGCAAGACGGAAAAAGGAAGAGGTAGATATAGAGAGGCGTAAATAAAAGGAAAAAACGGGTGGAGATAGAAAAACATAAACATTGAGAAAGAGACAGAAAAAAAAAAATGAAGAAAATCAAGGCAAACTGCCTAGTCCACACCGACTTCAGGCTTGTCACCACTAATGCAGAGTTGCCTTAGTTTGTTATGCACTCTGTTCAGTTAGCATTCAGTGCCTTTCGTAGGGTTGCTAGTAAATACATTGTCTCCCAGTAACTAACATGTACAATGAGAGGATGTACTCCACTCGCATCAACCAAATCAGAACCAGAAAATTGTCTTTATACAGTGGAACTTCGACTATATGTTTCCCCGCTTCGCGACGATCCGCATTGTAGGACGAATCGGTTTTTTCCTGGCAAAATCCCCATAGAAATAATGTGTTAGAAACCCTGGTTATAAGACGTAGTTTTGTGCCAACCCTGTATCTTAACGACGACTCTCACATTCTGCCCCAAAGAAAAAGAAAACCTGTAGAAACTCGCATCAAGCGGCGAAATATGAACTTGGGTTTTGACAATTGTAAAAGTAGAAAGTTAGAATGTCTTTTAGAATGGAATATTTATTCTCCTGGAAGTTCATGCGCTTCTACATACGCCTCAATCGTGCGCGTATGGATCCGGGGTCGTTACCTAGTCAAGCTTTCTCCACACAGTGTAGCTTCAGCCAGCCGAAAAGCTGATATTTTTGCGTTTTCGGCTCATATAAACTTTTTCTGGTTAACATATAGCTGATCTGCCTTCGTTGCACTCGCAGTCACAGGTTTATGCATGCAGAAGGGCTCGACGCAGCTATTTTCACCGTGTAAAATTACGTTCACTTGTCGTCAACATTCATAATAAGAGCGGGACACCACTAGTTGCACTTCACAGGGCAACAAATTACAGTGCGCACAGCTCTGTCACGCACGAAGGCATTCTATGCAAACTCGTCGTCCGTCGTCCTTATGTGATAGCTATGACACTGTTACTGACTCTTTCACAGGAGGCTGTTGGCAATGCGGTTTCAGTTTCGTTAACATGAACTGGCAGTTTTTGGACGCTACTTATCGGTAGAAAGATGCTCATTGATTTGATTTTTTTAGGGTTGAGAATAAATATTCGCTTACACCTTCTCCCACTAAGCAATGCTACCATTAGTTGTCACTGACAAGAATATTTTTATCTACATTCTTTGAAGAGGCACAGGGTGTGCTCTAATTAATATTATTAATTAGAGGCACAGAGAGCCGCAAGGTCGTGCTATAAATAATATTATTAATTTGTGCTGCTCTGCACTAGCACTATGCTCATGGGTCCCGCCGCAGCGATCTAGTGGTGAAGGTACTCCGCTGCTGACCCGCAGGTCACGGGATCAAACCCTGGCTGTGGCGGCTGCACTTTTGATTGAGGCAAAAATGTTGTAGGCCCATTTGCTCAAATTTGGGTGCACGTTAAAGAAGCCCAGGTGGCAGAAATTTTCGGAGCCCTCCACTACGGCGTCTCTCATAACCATATGGTGGTTTTGGGACGCTAAACCCCACATATCAAATCACTATGCTCATGGCCCTAATCACGCCCAGCTTTTTAAATCTTAAATAAATGAGAAAAAAATATAAATTTTTTTCTCGTAGCTGATCGTGCTTAGGGAAACTGTTTATAAGTCTCTATAAAGTACTTATAATTTCTTTAACTAGATCGGAACAACGGTCTGTGACATCCCCGCGTATGTGTTGTTTTTCAGCCGTCGTACTGCCTTGCCTGTTGTTCACCTTTGGATTGCTCTGCCAGGACACTGCAAGGTGAAATTCACTATGTAAGACGCTCTTTTAGTGCTACTTCATTCACCTTTTCTCCTTTGCGGGTTCATGCTGCACTTTTAACGTAGCATGTTTCCGAGGTTCCCCGCGACATACCTGCCGACTCTCCCGCATTGTCCGAGAGACTCTCGAATTATGACCTAGTCTCCTGTTTGTACGAATGCTATCTCGAATCTCCCGAAAAGTTACCATCACAGCAGATGGGCTTTTTTTTGTTCTTTAATCACGCTAGTATACGTCAGCCTTTCCTGCTGGGACTGTTGCGGTGCTGCGGAAGATCACAAGCCACTACGTTTCTGTAGTTCATTGTAACCACACTGCCGAGTACCGCTATGTAGGCACCATAGTACCGCGCATCTGGACGGAAGCAGGTGGCCGCGAGGCCCGCTCTCCACCACACGGAAAGAAGGTGAGGGAAAAGGTACCACAACTTTCTATTGTCTGCCTTGGCCTCCGCATTTTTGCACTAGGCCCACACTGGTTGCCTAGTCGTCAGTTTGTTACGTGCTTTTGGGGTCGCATGTTTCCCCGAGTTCAGTTGGAAAGTTGATGGCGGTGTCAAAAGCAAAGTACTTGCAAGTGTTTCTGGACTTGTACACAACTGAGTTTCCGTCCTTTGCGACTTTGCGAATAGGGAGAAAGTATAGGTTAGTATCACGTGTGCCTTTGATGCAAGTGTTTTGCACGGTGGCAAAGCTGACATTTCGCTTCACAGAAGCATCGGAATCACGTTCGTGCTGGGGAATGGCAGGACATTGGAAGGTCCTAAAAGAGCAGGGAAGACCATGCGATCTGCACAGAATGCCTATTCATGGGCTTTCTTATGGAATACTACCTGCCACTGAGCGTAAGTTATTATGCAGGACCGTTGTTGCGGAAAGTGTTCTAGAAGTGCGAGGACGCCTAGCAATACGAGTGCCGACGTATGAGTGCCGACGTACATTTAATAACATCCGCTATCTTCGGGTAAATGGCTGCAGATATCGAAAACACAACATATGGAGGCTGTGTAATGCGCTTCATTCATAACGACAGTGCGCCGCTGATGTCTCTCTGTAATTCCCGATATGAAAAAAAAAAAAAGCGACTCCCCCCTTTCTACTTTTTCATTGCGGTCTCCCGAATTTAGGTGCTGCTAGGTTGGCAGGTACCATTTACAAAAGCCAGTGCTATAGAAAGAAGCAGAATTTGTAAGTTTATGAAACTTCTAGTTGTGTGCATGCTTGAGATGATCATGCTTGTTATGCAGTGGTACCCAGCTTATTTCTATAACAACATACAGTGATAGAGAAATTATGTTAATTTTGTGGCCATTGTTTATTTTTGTGATTAGAAATTCGCACACGTGCAGGTTTGCCAGGAGTACCACTCTTCTCAGCCAGAAGTGTCAGCAGCATTGGAGCGTACGTGCGCTGTCCCAAGACTACTTGACTATCATGTAATGTAGTATCTTCACTTCGGCATTCTTCGCCTTGCCATAGGTGGTCTAGTGGCTATGGTACTCGGCTGCTGACCCGCATGTCGCGGGATCGAATCCCGGCTGTGGCGACTGCATTTCCGATGGAGGCGGAAATGTTGTAGGCCCGTGTGCTCAGATTTGGGTGCACGTTAAAGAACCCCAGGTGGTCAAAATTTCCGGAGCCCTCCACTACGGCGCCTCTTCATAGTCAAATGGTGGTTTTGGGACGTTAAACCCCACAAATCAATCAATCAATCACTTTGGCATTGTTTTTTTTTTTCTGGTACTAAATGTGTGTCTTCAAATGGTTTGGGAAACGCCTTGGTGCAATGTCAGAGCCACTTGCATAATTATCATGACCACCATTGTAAACAATTAGGGGATATTGAAGGGACACTAAAGAGAAACAATGGGATGTCTTACATTGATAAACACACTCTGGAAACTCTAATGTCATAAGTTTCACTGTCATAAGTTTTTACTAGTGAAGAAAATCAAGGTCGAAGTTCATTTTTGAATTTCTCGTCGGAATAACAATATTACTGACTTCCAGAGAAATGGAGGATAAGTCGTGCACTTAACTTTATTGCACTTCAAAATAACAAACCAGTCGCTCACGCGGACTTTACTATGAAGTCTTTAACTGGATGTCGGTGCTCTTTCCCGATGTGGTCCTCAGAGCTTAACCCATATATGCCCAAACTAAGAAAACATGAAAAGACAAATATTTTTTGTTACAAAGAGGACACTGGCACTCTTAGCAAAAGATACAGGTTATTTTATTTACACTCACTTCAAGGCAACACTATTTTCAAAGCTGTCCTACATGTAGGACACTGGGCTTTAGGGGTGCTATGTGGGGGTGTGGTAGACCTTGAAGCACTTCACGTGCACACCCACGTCGTACTTCTCGCAACGAGTTGTTGTCTTCTCGTGGCAATGAGCGCACCTTGTCTGCTTGGCTTGAGGAATAACAATATGATCAGTGCGGTCAAAACGACTGACTGCTTGAATGGCGGACTGGCGGGCTTTTCCACGGGAGGGCTTGCATCCATATTTCTTCAGGTAGGCCATAGCAATAGACCTCTGAAAACAAAGATGCTCGATGTTCCCATTTTTCAGCTTATACAGCTGCAAAGCATTGTTCACGGATGCATCGAGAAGGTAGGTAAACAGAGATGGGTATCACTTTTTTCCTCTGATTGGCCGTCCGGTATTTGGAGATGTTTTGGTCCATTCTGTCTACACCTCCCATGTTGGCATTGTATTTAGCAATCAATAACGCTGGTTTACCACAACTTTTGCCTTTTTTTCTCTAGAATATCGTTTCACCTGCTGCGTTGGCTCCGCTCCATGTGCATTTGAAACAACAGTAACGACACTATTGTCCACCCAACGGCACACAATTACTTCACTCTCACTGTCCACTCTGTAATCGAATGTGCCTCGTTCTTTACCTTTCATACTCTTTTGTGCTGGAAGTGGACATTTTTCAATCCTGTTTTCACGGACAGTTCCAGTGCACTGCACGCCCAAAGTGGTGAGTTTTCGAACAAGCTTCAAGCTCGTGAAAAAATTGTCAAAAAACACGTGAAAACAAAGGTCAGTTTTAGACTTGAGCCTGCCAACCATGTCCACCACAATGTAACCTCCGAGACCAAGGTCATTTTTGCTTTCAGAGGCCACGCCATATTTTTCTTGGTAGGACTCAGTTGACAACAAGTAGCCGAGAGGTGTGCACAGGCACCACAGCTTGTATCCAAATCGAATTGGTTTTCCTTTCAAGAACTGTTTACACCCGGGCTTTCCGAAATATTCACACATGCTTTCGTCGATGCTGTAGCGTTATGAAAGTGGTGCGTACAAAAGAAACTTCTGATTCAGAAGCTTGAATAATGGCCGCATCTTGGCAAATCTGTCATCCTGAGGCAGGTTGTTGTTGTCGGCAACATGCAGATTCGAAAATATTGCTTCGAAACGGTTACGCCTCATGAAGTTCGCAACAAGTTCGTTGTGGCAGTCTTCAGAAATTTCCCACAACATTCTCCAGCGAGGTACAGGCACGTACCCGCTAAGAAGAAGCACGCCTATGACACACTTCATTTCTTCTTCTGTCACTCCTAGGCTCCGATTTTTTTGGTCGGCATATCGATTAGTTTCCTTCACGAGAAGCGCGATGACGTCCGTCATCAAAGAATTTCTCGAATGCATCTGCGGGAGTGAGGAAACTTTCATCCTGTTCCTCTGCCAACCACTCACTTTGAGGTAGCTTTGTCTTCAAGTCTCTCTTGTCCCAGTTTGCGCTGAATTTTGCGACCTTTTTGGCTGGCTCACCCTCGTCGTCGTCACTTGATGCATTGTCCAGGCCAACAATTTCCGCTCGAAGGACGCTTCCAGGCAAGCGAGCCATGTCAGTGTCATTTTCATCCCCGCTTTCTTCGTCAGTCACTATGGCTGCGAAATTGTCCGCGCGCGGTAGTATTGCCAGTGTGGGGGGCCTGCTGCCACCAGCATCAACAAGGTCTAACACATCGTTCAGAATTCTCGGTGGCGCTGTTTCCGCATAAAACACCGAACACGGTATTCCCTCCCTGAAAAAAAATCATAAAACATGATGAGGTCGAATTCATATTATCTACTCAGCGTAAATGTTAGCCAGTAGCATTTTTTGTATTATTGTAGAGAAAGAAGCGGGATCCATGCAGTGTGGGAAAAAAAAAAAAAACCGCGAACACAAGGGTATTATCACATCCTTTTCAAAATACCCGCCGAGAACAACAATTCATCCATAATACACCAGATAGCGTAACATGTCCACAAGCCTTGCGTGAAAGAAGCACTATCGTCACTATTGTGCTTACCCACATCGTGAAACTACGTAGCGGTTGCTTCTGGGCACTTACACCGCCCCATGACGCCTAATTTGCCCAGTGTCCTAAATATAGGACGGCTAGGTTTAGCGCTTGTAACTTATCACTTCCTGCATTTTGAACACACTACTGAGCCTAGTTAATATACATACTCTTATGAGGCGGTCGACACATTATTGAAGTTTTTCGGCAGTGACTAAATTGTCAGTACTTTACTTTTTCCTTACAGCGTGTGTGCTCGGACGGAGAGTGGAGTCCACCACGCGGCAAAACGAAGGGCAAGCACAGTGTAGGCTTGCACACATCAAGGCGGATGCTTGTTTGAAGCATTGTAGGGTGGCGCTACTGTTCATTTAAAAAAATAGAGATGTTAGCGCACATTAAAAAAGCATCCTACATGTAGGACACTGGGCACATAATGGGTTAAGTTACAATTAAAACATGCAAAATTCGTCTTCTTTGACAAGCTAAACACAGATCTGAATCACAACCCAAAACTTTTTTAGAAGTATGTCAAGATCAGCAGAAAAATTGACACAGCTATCCGTGACCTCCTAACTGAGGAAAAAACTATTAACGGATGATTTGGAAAAAGCTTAAGCATTCAACGCCTACTTTCAGTCAGTGTTTTTAACAAGGACTGAACACTCACCAATAATATTTTCTAAAAATATTGGTAATGAAATGGCGACAATTGAAATTGACTACACTGGTTTGGATAGTCTCCTGCATACTCTGGACACCTCCAAGGCTATGGGGCCTGATGGTATATCATCTCACGTACTTAACCCTTTAATGCCTGAATTATGAAAGCACCGAATAAAAAAATTCGTTTTCCATTTTTCAGCTTTAAATAGCAATCCTTACTTAATTCGGAAATTATATTATCTGAAATGCAACTTTATTGCATACTTTTAGGTTTGTCGCGAATTCGCGACAACAGGCACTTAAGTCAATATGTGGTCCAAACGAGAGATGCGTTCAATTCAACGCAACTATGTGATCGCCGCATCAATAAACCGAGTCTGATCAGGGCTACGGAGCTTGGCATTTCTGGCAAACATTTATTTCACAGAAACTGAATCGTTCAATCAAAAATATTCAGCAAAACATATCCTTTACCCAGGATTTAGTAACAGCATCTCGTTTCACGGCTGGTGAAAATCCACAAAGCAGTTAGCATTTTTATTCAAGCACAAGTGAACGTCGCATTTTGTGCATTTGAAAACGGTTTGCCCCCTTGCATCCTGGACGCTTGCATCGCTGACGTGTGGTTTCGGCAGTTGGCCAGTGACCTGTACTGTCCGTGCGGACACTAGCGACTGGCACGGGTTTCATGGGCCCTCTTTTTTTCTTGCACTCAAGCTGCGATTCCACAGATGAGGACGGCCTGCCCCTTTTTTTCGTTGCAGTGTCCTTGTTCTCCTTCATCAACCAGGTAGCAATGTAGAACTTGAACTTGAGGAGGTCCATCTGCTGCTTGGTAGGAACGCCTACTGCATCACAGTCACGTCTGTAAAGCAGCCAGGCGACGACGACCATATCTACAAAATGAAAAAAAATCTTAAGGTAAAACTTTTTGGACCTTACATGGATTCTGTAATATGCAATCAGTGCATCCAGCTGGTCCACGCCTCCCATGAACTTGTTGTAGATGCTGACCGCACTTGGGCATTCAACCTGTACGGTCATCTTTTTTGAGCGTTCCCACCTGCCAACAGACGTAACTGGCTCGGCACCTGCGAACGTGCTCAACGTTGTGACCGCTCGGTTATCGTACCACTTGAGTGCAATTAGTTTTGTGGCATCAACCACCGTCTCGAATTCTTCGAAGGATCCTCGGCCCTTTTTCTTGAGGCTTGCATCAGAAGGCAGAGGACAACCTTGCAGTCGATTAGCATGGACTGTGCCAAGACAGTGGACATCTTTTTTTGATAATGAGCTAAAGAGCTTCAGGGACGTAAACCAATTATCGCAGAAAAGAAGATGGTTCAGTCCTGGCTGAATGTTTTGCGAAAGCTTGAGGACTATATTGCCACTGGCACCAATGTCGGGCTCCCCAGGGACAGCATCAATCCTTCCTGTGTATATTTCGAAAGAGTGCACCATGCCCTGTGGGTCGCACAGCAGAAAAACTTTGTAACCCCATTTGTGGGGTTTGCTGGGAATGTATTGCTTGAGGCTTGAGCGTCCCTTGAACGGTACCATTTGCTCGTCAACGCACAGGGCTTGTGTTTTTGGGATACCTTGAAATTTCGGCAGGAGGAAGTCAATAACTGGCCGAACCTTGAAAAGACGGTCCTTGTGTGGATCATTTGGTGGCGACATGTCATCATTGTTGTTAAAATGCAAATTTGCTTTGATTGCCTCCCAGCGATCACGTGACATCGTGTCGGCCACCGTGGGGACCCTGGACTCGGCCGCCCAGTATAGCCGACTTCTTGGGAGTCGACAGATCGACATGAATGTGACGGTGCCGAGAAATTGATCTAGCTCATCACGAGACAGAGCAAGTCCTTTGTTAGGATTTTTCTGCATCGCAAACACATTGCTCTGCTCAACGATGTGATCCATGAAGTTGTCATCAAAAAAGTCCTTGAAATATTCGATAGGAGCTCGTACAGTGTCAGCCTCAGGAAGAGCACTTTCCCAGGGTGGTACTTCTCGCTGTTCTTGACAACCGGTTTTTTTCCATCGCACCGCACGCTTTCGAGAGGCACTTGGTTCATCTACCGCATCTTCGTCTTCATCCTCACTGCTAGATGAAGACACTCGAGCTTGTGTATGATGATAGGGAACAACATCGTCGTCTTCGCTGTCACTGAGACAGCTGTCATCACTTTTGTCTTCAGGTGGCAAGCGCGTACGAAGCCCCCTTTTCCCATAAAACGAGCGGGAGTCCATCTCCTGTCAAGAAATTAAAAACTAAATTATCATACCGTCAGTCACCACTTGCGCAAACGCCGCATGTCGCCAATTCGCGACATACCACGAAAGCAAGGATTGTGCAACAAAAAATGTGCTTCAAAACGATGTAACATGTCATATTCAATCTCTTGGATGCGTGCACACCGAAAAAAATTTATAGTAGATTGAACTTGCGTCACTCTGGCAGAAAACGAAGAAATGAGAGCTGTTGCACGTGCTTCGCGCTCACCGCCAACTTGGACACAACACTGGGTCCTAGCTTGGAATACCTTACGTGAGATGGCGCTAGATGTCTCGTACTGAAAGCTACGTTCGTCGCGAAGACGTGACAGCCGGCGCTGAAGGCAGTACACGTGTGGTAAGTTGCTTGGTCGGCCTTTTTCGGTATGTCGCCAATTCGCGACAACCGGCAGTAAAGGGTTAAGGGGAGACGCTCCTCGAAAAAGTTTTTTTTTTATTTCTAGTAATAGAGACTTGAAAAGTTTGTTATTAGTATAGTTTTTCATGTAGATTTCAAATATGCAATCATTTTTTGTGTAGCTGCTATAATTATTGAGTTATGCCATAAACAATAGCAAAAAGTTACATTTTTTGCGGGCACTCTTTTATGTACTAAACTTTCAGTAAAAGCACTGTGTCTGATCTTATTTGACTCTTGGTAGATTGAAAAGTGCAAATATCTATATAGATATGTCACAGAAATATTGGAACCAAGAAAAAAAAATTGTATTGAATGACTTATTATTTTCAATCTCCCTTGAAACAATAAGCTAATATTTTCAAAACTAATGCTGGTAGGCATTGCAATTTAGAGTAGATATTTGCATTCTGCATGTGTTGAAGAATATGTGTGCCAAGTTTCGTTACTATACAATGAATATAAGTTTCTAAAAGGCTGCCCGGAAAACGTGAAACTGTCAGAAAAAATGAAAATGAGAAAAACAAGTTTGAAAGTTCGCAAAGTTGGCATTTATTAGGAAATCATTCTTTTTGCATCAAATTGGGGCACAATAAAAAGTACCTTGCCTTGAATGCACTGCAAGTGTCTAGAAGTCCCCTGCACCATAGCTTGGTCCTTCACGGCTCTTGCGGTCAGTGTCCTCAACACAAGCTCTCTTCGCTGTGTTGCGACGGTGTGCCCTCGCTTCTGCAGTTTGCTTCAGGTTCATCTTCCTGATGCGCATGACGTCACAGTGGTCACCATGTGTGGCCAGATCTTGTGAGGGGAGAATTCCAATGCCTTCGAGCTCTTCTTCAAAGCCCCTGTGGCCTTTGTTGTACCAGAGTACAGCAAGAGCGGTGGCTGTCTCCACAGTTGTTCTGGAGGCGAACTTTGTTTTTGGACATAGCAGCCATATCTTGCTGTTCAGCGATTCGGCTGCATTCTGTGTCTTGCCATGAAGGCACCGAATAAGGAGTTTCTCCTCTGTAAGGCGCTTGTAGATAGGCATAATTGCCAATCCTTGAGCCTTCGTCAACAGTGGGGTGTGGCGTGGTGCAGGCTCCCCCAGTGCTTCCGCACGCTTGTGCTTGCACCACGAATTTGGTCCCGCGGGGCAAAAGTTGTGGCTACTGGCACCATCACTGGAGCAGCAATGAAAATACGATGCCCATATGGCAGTGTACATATTTCGGACACTGTCCTTGTTGCTCGTGATGGCGATCTTGTAATATGTTTGTAGTTTTATTATTGTCACATCTTTCAGTTTTTCGCCTCGTGGCAGTGGCGTTGCCAATTTTCGTAGGGCAGTTCCCAAGCGCTTTGCAACGTGGTTCGTGCACTCTTCTTTGTCAATGGGGGTGTCACAGTATACATTTGCCTCGCAGACTGCAGTGTAGGCCTTGCTGTCACCATCACTTAGGAAGCTGGTGAATCGCAGTGGAGTTTCATAAGACAAGGTCCTCTGCCATATATTGACAGCTGCCGCAGGTTCCATTGCATGGGATGAGCAGTCAGTGTTTTTTTGGCAAACTGGAAGATGAAAAGCTCGCCATATCTCTTCATCCTCCCCAAGGTCCCTGTGTATACTGCAAGCATGGCAGTAGTTCGAAAGAACTTCAAAATCGAGGCAGAGCCTCGTGTCCAGGGACACGACTGTGCCCACTCTATTGTGGCTTTTATGACCTCTTTTCTGCCAGGTGCCATCAAACATGACTGGCACATCTCTGCCGCCGACTGCGTCCTTCGTGATGTTTCGTGCCTGGTGCAAGTTTTTGCTCACTGCCGTCATCGCCGCACCATGGAGCTTCTTGCAAATGCCGTTGAATGTCTTGTGATGCATCGGGCTCGGAAGACCGAGAATCGCACAAAATCGTGAAAGTTGGTCGTGGCCTGCGCCTATAGCGCGTGCTGCCAGAACTGCCTTCACGTTTACAGCAAAGCTGTCACGCGAGCTGCCGCTGTCAAAACGAGCGCTCGTTCCTTGGTCCCCGGCCGAAGCAGTACGTCTCGACGTGTGCGTGAACGAAAGTGCAGATTCAGGGCAATCAGAATTTTGACAGCACAGTTCGAGGAATGCCGAAAGTCCTTTGCGCTTTCCAGCTGCCTCTCGCACGCCGAGCTTCCGTTCACGGCAGGTTGGGCATTGCGCACCCGCCACAAGTGCCGTCAGCGCATCGATTTCGCAAAGCAGCATGTTCGCAGTAGCAGCATCTACCGGTCTACGTTCACTCTCGAAGAATCCAATCTTCCTTTGGGATGCACTGACGAATTCCACGGCAGCGGCTACTTCACAACCACTGTCGCAGGGTTCGGTGACGGTGTTAGGCCTATCCGAAGTCGGAGCATCGGGGCGTTGGTCGGGGGCGACATGTCGTTCGCTGTCGCTTTGCGAAGCGTCCGACGCCGTTTCCCTCGATACTTGTGGCGAGTTCTGAACTTTCGATTATCTGAAGTGCACTTCTTCGGGCTTGCCATGACGCAAGAATGCAGAGAAACGCAGAAAAACTCGATCGCGACGTCCGAGGCTTCGCTCTTTTGCCGGAGAGATAGGAGGGGGAGGAGCGTGGAGCGCACCGCCGTCCAATGGCGGCCTCGCGCTGTGTGCCGTGATATTCAAAATGCGTGACGTACGCGTTTTTTTTCGTTTTTTGTTTATTCTGCGTGAAGGCACGAGACTGGCTACTAGTGGATTATGAAGGATACGGCCTTCGCAGCATGCGTGCACGATTGCAAATGGCGGCCGACGCGTCGTTTTCGCGACAGGACGACGCGAACTTCGCCGTTTTTCGCGACTTTCGCGCATTTCTCGCGTCACCGCTGCCCACTTGGAAGCATTTTTTGATAATTTCTCGTGCGAATTTCAGCTTGATATTTTCAGAAGTAATAGATTATAGTCCAAGGATGCCAATACAGCCGGAAAAAAAAAAAGCGAAAATTTTCCGGAAAACCGCGACTTTTCGACCCGCGTCTCCCCTTAAAAGATGTCACGTTGAACTTGGAAGGAAAGGGCCCACTAGGGAGCCTACATACGCCGCGCCTTCGTCGTTTAGGGTGGCGACAGCAGAGTCCATGGTTGCCTAACGGTGGCTGCGGCGGCCGCCAAACTTGACGGGCCGCCATATTGGTCCCCTAGTGCCCGCCCGACCCAGGGAGCCGGCATGCGCCGCGCCTCCGTAGGCGCGAAACAGACTATCTTTAGAACGACCTGCTTCGAAATGATCGTACGTGATTAGCGGTTATCGCCAAGAAGCTTTCCAAAAACTTCCTGCTGCTCGGAACAGTTGAGATCGCGGGATTATTCGTTTAATGCGGCATTCACGTCCTTGGTAAAAGCTTGCCAGTGCCTTCTTTGGAGGCACTAGCTGCACGTAGAAGCACGTAGGAGCCGGGGATTTTATGTCGCCTTGCTTCGCCGTCGTTCTTAACCCGGAAAGGTTCTGTGTTTAGGTAATTGCACGATGACGCCCGATTAGAGAGACGGTAATTTCATTTTCAGTTTTGGTTTTTGCCTTTTATATCATTTTAGTTATTTTAGCACTATTACCCTTTTATTTATTATGCACTATTACAGTCGACTCCCATTAATACGAAGTTGACGGGAACCGCAAAAAACTTCGAATTAAGCAAAAAGCACTAAAAACGGCACTTTTATTAGTTTAAAAGTGCGACAGTTTTGAGGAAAAATAGTCTGTCATCTTCTTCTGCTTGCCAAATCTGGCTGCGGCTAGCAAGTTTTGTAAGGAATACACGTGTCGAAGTGCTTCTTCGGCGTTGTGTTCTCCAACAAAAAACCGCTGCTCAAGAGCAAGACCCGCAGCTACATCGGCAGCCCTCGGTGGTGGCTCATTTCCGATGTCGTCGTCATCATCGTCATTTTCAGGAATGCAGTCATGGGGCCGAACCATCTGCACGATTTTGCTGTCCGTTAGTGGACCGCATGTTTCGACGTTGCTGTCCACAGCGGCATACTCGTCAAAACGGACGTCACCGAGAGCGACGCGAAAGCTACCGTCGTCGAGCTCATTTGTTTGCACTTCCACTGGCGCACAAGGAGAAGCATCCCCCGAGTTTTCCATGAAACCACAGGCCCGGAAACAATTGGCGATGGTTTCTTCTTTCACGCGGGTCCAAGCTCGCGCTAGCATGTTGATGGCACTAAGCAAACTCACCTCGTATTGCGACGAGTTGTCCATGCACAAAAGCATGCGCTCGACGAGATGCTGCCTATACAATACCTTCACATTTTTTATTATGCCCTGGTTCATGGGCTGCAACACGGACGTCGTGTTTGCAGGCAGGTACACAAGACGGATGGCACTCAAGGCAGGTATGTTCATGTGGGCACTACATTGGTCCACAAGGAACAACACCTTACGGCTTGATTGCGCGAACTTGCGGTCGAGTTTGGTGATCCAGTCCTTAAATATATCATATGTCATCCACGCCTTTCTGTTCGAGGCATAATCCACAGGAAGCGTCTTCACGCCTTTAAAGCACCTAGGCTTGGCAGCCTTCCCGATCACAAGCAGGCGACACCGTTCTGTGCCAGTCATGTTCGCCGCGACTAGCACTGACACTCTCCCTTTGCTTCTTTTGCCTCCAGAACAGTCGTCATCTTTAAATGTCAGGGTCTTGTCCGGTAGCAGCCGATAAAAAAGCGCAGGCTCGTCTGCATTAAAAATGTCTGCCGGCTGGTATTCTTCGAGGTACTCGCGAAGCTTGCCCGCTTTCCATGTCAGGCACATTTCCTCATCGACTGACGCCTTCTCCCCACACACGCTTTTAAAAATCAAGTCGTGGCGATGTTTAAAACGCGTAAGCCACCCATCCGAAGCAGCGAAGTCGTTGATGCCCAACATTTCAGCAAGCGATGACGCTTTTGCCGTGACGACTTCACCACTGAGAGGAAGTTTGTTGTTTCGTGCCTCTCTGATCCAAATCAGCAGTGCTTCCTCCAACTCGGGGTAGGCGCCGGTGCGCATCCGCTTCCGCGATGTCTTGAATTTTTCACTTTCAAACGCATCCAATATTCAGCGCTTATTCTTTATGAAAGTCGACAGCGTGTTAGGCTTAATGCCGTACTTTCTTGCAATGTCTTGTTTGGCGGTGCCTCCTTGGTCAACTTCCTTCAAGACTTCGACTTTCGTCGCTAGGTCTAGCGTTCGGTAAGGGCCACGAGTTGCCATTATCAAACGTACGTCACCACCACAACACTCAAAATCAGAAGCGCGGAAACACGTGTGGAATCAACCCAGCGCGCGGGTGACGCGGTGACACACTCGAGTCTTGACAAAAGTCAACTAAAGAGTCAGTCGATGCCGCCGATGCGATTTGCCAGCGTTAAAAATATTGCCGCTTCAAGATCTGTGGCGCTGCGGACAGTAGTGATGGTGAAGACACCAGCGCGGTCCGGCAGATGTTTTGGCATATGAAAGGTCGCGACGAGACTGTCGATTGAAAAAACTTCTAATTAACCAATATTATGGGTTTTTAACTTCGAATTATCGAGCATTTTTTTCTATACGATTGCATGCAAAACTGATGGGACCACTTGCTCATTTCTAATTAACCGAAACTTCCAATTAAGCGACTTCGAATTACCGGGAGTCGATTGTATTCAATTTCGCATTTTTGTGCAGATACAAGGCACTACATGTTATTAGGTTATGTTATTGGGTTATGCCGCAAATGCTTTAGCATAGAAAATATCGGTGTGGTAGTAAAGTTTCTGATACAAGAAAAAAGGCCCTCACAGACTAAACCACTGTTGCCCATAGAACCTCCCCAGCCTATGCTTGAATTGTTCTGTCCGTACTGGGCACGTGCCCAATGTGCAATTTAACATGTTTACACACACTAACAAAAATATTGTTGAGGTGGCAACACAAAATATTACATCTATGGCTGAACATCCGAGTCATCATGCCTTGTAGTGTACTTTTATTACACGCATAAAGCAAGACAAAATTCACGTAAAATTATTTTATTGCACTGCTTGCGTGACATGCAGATGCCCCCTTCTTGAACAACAGGCGTACATGGGATATACAACAAACACACAAAGTAAATGTGTCCGAGCTAATAAAGGCATCAAATTTCAAGAAGCACTTTATGTAGCAGACTAACGCATGTAAAAGTGATCTCACTCATTTGTGACTTTTTTCCAATGGAGCTGTTGAAAAAAAAACTGAACACACAGGCAACGAGCAAGATTAAAGCCCAGATGGGCTACACAGGTGGACAATGCTGATGAGACCAACGCAGAGATAACTAATGAAAGAGAAAGCAAGTAGAGAAAAATACGGCTTGCTACACTGATAAAGTGAGAAGAAAGCATTTTACACAACGACTGCATAAGTAGTACTTTGAGCACAGATACATACATGAACCAAAATATTGGGGAAATAAATCGATAAGAAAATCTCCCAAGCCCCACTGGGTTAACTTAAATTACCCCACTGAAAATTACATGACATTAGTCGAGAATAAAAACACGTCATGAGGAACTGGCACAATGGAGAGCAACGTCTCAAGAGAAAGGTGCAATGTGAATGAAGGCACACCGGTGTTCCTGGTTTCGAATGCTTTTTTCGGGCTGGTACTGAGGAACAGCAAAAGAAAATGTTAGCATTAAAATATTTTACAGCTATTTTAAACACACTATGATGTAAATTATACAAATGAGCATCAATTTTCCCTTATCATTGTACGGCAATGAAGTTGCATAGAGTCCTTAACAAAGGCAGTCCTAAATTATGATTGAGCGTACCACCCAAGTTGTTCAAGTGTCCTCACATAAAAAAAAATGATCGCAGCTGCGTACGCTCTACGGTTCTAGCTGGCTGCTGAACTACTTACTCCAAGTTTGCCGCAGCACAGGTTTTGCTTGCTGCCCCATTTACTCTGTGTTTATGCTGCTGTCTGAGGTAAATCTTTAGTCTTGTTCGGACATATTTTTCGAGAAGCAGCTTCTCTACAGTAGGCTTGTGCAAACTGCAACATCCCTAGTGCATTTTTACAGACTTCTGCAGGGCACTTAAAATGCTTTAAAATGGTTTTTTCACCTTCATGACTTCACCCATTTCAGCTAAAGTTTTGAAGTTTTCTTCACAATCCATCAAAATTGTCATTACAGACATGCTCGGCTGGATGAGATTTCCGGCATTTTTTACGTATTCCTTCAACTGGATGAGGCTGCTGTATTTCCCAGGAGCACTGTCAGTCAGTACTGCTTTACAGCTTTTGCAGTTGTCTATAAACTTTAAGACAGACCTCAGAAGGAAACCACCGATGTACGCTACGATGTCGCACTCTGCTTCCGTCAGGCCAATCACAAACAAGTTCTCTAACTCCTCAGCCTGCTGAATGGGATCTTCCTCTAGCTTTTTTAAGCTTGGGTCAAGCAAGTCAGCCAGATGACTGCTGTCGTCAATGTTGTAGCTCGAAGTCTTAGGGGTGTGTACAAACTGGCTGACACAAATGGCCTTCAGTCAACACCACCTAGAACTAGAGAAGGCCTGTGCAGGGCTGCGTGACGTCACCGCAGTGAGATCGGCCTAAAAGTCGGCTTCACCCAATGCTACGCTTTTTCTTTCCGAAATGGCATTTTCCCTACATTATTATTATTATTTTCGCGGTTTTGGAGTGCACAGAATATTTGCAATAAATAATATTTTCAGTATGTTTTAACTAAACGCTGGCTTGAAATAATTCATCAGGCACTCGTGAAATTTTTAACAGCATGCACAGCCATTTCGTGCAGTTTAAAAGAGGCTTAAATTTTCGTTGTGAGACATATTTATTTGTGATACATCATAATCCAAACAGGCAGAACAATTCATAAGAAAGAAGATTATGCTTGAAGAGTACTGAGCTTCCGCTTCGCAGCCTTGCTTTCAGTTCCTTTATTTTCAACTTTGTTCCGCTTTGCAGCCTTGCTTTCATTCAGCTTGTTATTTTGAACTTTGCACAAATTATTCAGCAGCGTATTGGCAGCAGCACTGAGATCATAGTTTAAGACAAGTTCAGGTGAGTGGCCACCATCGCAGAAATCCAAGTCTTCATTGCACTCAACAAGGGAAGTCGCGAGGCTTACAAGAACTTCTTTTTGTTTTGCGCAAGCAAAAAATTGTGATGCGTACTTCGGACTTATGAGCTTGTCAAGCACAATTTCCATTGTGAGCACGGCATTCACAACTACCGCTTGTGGAAGTTTCAGTCCACCACGCGTTGCATTAGCTATCAGCACATCATCATCCAGTTCAATGGTCCGATTCTCAACAGTCAAGTTTTCCTGGCAGGAAGAGCAGGCAAGTTTCCTAACTGCAGCATATGCACAATATCCTGCTACATATGTAATAGCTGGTAGCATTTTCTCCTTCTCCTTCACATCATCGTCCATCACTGCAACATCAAACTGCTTAACAAGGAATTTCAAATCAGTGGTAGGAATGCAAGGTGCAACGGTATCCTAGTTGGGAAGATCAAGTAGCTTCTGAAGTCTCAGCTTCTGCTCAGATTCATAAATCTGACGTATCGAAACGTGGTATTGGGCACCAGACAGCTGCCTGTACCTGCCAAACCTGTCTTCCAAACTGTCGGTTTGAAATTTCCCTAGCAAAACGTATTTGAACCGAAGTTCTTCAATGCAATACGTTGACACCTCAACAAGGGCATGTGAGGTATGTCGCAGTGCCATGTGCGTTTCGCGAGTTAACTGGCCAGCATCATGCTTCAAGCTCTGCCAGTGGTCCAACCAATCCACAATCTTGTTTAGAAACTCAATTTGGTGGCATTGCAGTGCACTTATCGGTTCTTGAAATGGGTCTCGGAGACGCTGACCTTTGAATGGGGTCTTGACATTCACCACATTCCACCATGTCAAAACAATGTTAATAAGTTCCAATGTACCAGCTTTATGCTCAAGTGCGACTTTGGTGCTTCTTAGTGCTGCAGCAGTTGAACTGTTGAAGATCGTCAGTGCGAGCTTTACATTTTGTCGCTCTAGATTGAATGGATTCAGCGACTTGAAGGACAAAGTTGGAGCTAGTCGCAAAAGCTCATTTTTTTCTCCTTCATGCAACTTGCATAGTGTGTTAAACGAGGCTGTCAGGACAGATGGGTTTTCCGAGATTGATTGATTGATTGATTGATTGATTTGTGGGGTTTAACGTCCCAAAACCACCATATGATTATGAGAGACGCCGTAGTGGAGGGCTCCGGAAATTTTGACCACCTGGGGTTCTTTAACGTGCACCCAAATCTGAGCCCACGGGCCTCGACATTTCCGCCTCCATCGGAAAGGCAGCCGCCGCAGCCGGGATTTGAACCCGCGACCTGCGGGTCAGCAGCCGAGTACCTTAGCCACTAGACCACCGCGGCGGGGCGGTTTTCCGAGAGGGCACTGAAATTGGGAAAGAAGATGCACCTTCCACAATTACGCTGATTCAGCCAGTTATTTCGGATACACTTTAATATATGCACTGCATCCAGAATAAAAAACAAGGGTCTTGATGAGTCTGACGGGTGCCTGTATACAATGCTCACTTTGGGAGGATCAGCAAAAAATGACATAGCCTTTCGGTTGGTCGAGTTGTTGTCAGACACCACTGCAACTACTCGTATTCCAATGTCTTCTAGGTGCCTGATCAGCAGATCAAGAAATTCATGTAGCTGTTTCGCTTCTATTTGTGCTACTGGAAGTATATGCACAACATCCTTGTTTGATGATAACAAGCTTTGTATCATAAAGACGTATGCTGTCTTTGCCGCATTTTCATTGTTTGTCGCTGCACCAGTGACATAACCACCCTTGTACTGAAAGGATGCCTGCAGGTGGATCTCGTCCATCATAAGCATCACAAAGCGCTCATGGTCTTTTAGTGTTGATGCCAGTCTCCTTGCATAAGAAAGGAATGAATCCTCTTGTTGCTCTCTGGATGGGCTAGCACGGTAAGAGGCACAAATGCGTCTTATTGTCTGTGGATGTGGGAGCTTTAATTTTGCAGTACTCCTGATGAATCTGTATGCGTGCGGTGATATTGTGTACACAAGGCTGCAGAACACCAGAAAGTCAGCTGGGTAAGTCGACGCCTTAGTGAGGAGAACTTGAAGTTGCTGTGTCACAAATTTGACGACTTGCACTTGCCACTCATGCGGGAGAGCTGAAGATGACAGTTGCTCCAGGAGTGCCACGACACGCTTCAGCAGAATCTCTAGTTGGAGTTCACTATTTGTGGAATCCTTCGTGACGTCTTCCACATCGCACAGAACTTTGTGAAGCACTCTCAAGTCAGAAATTGTCATAGGAAGCACAGAGGAACCTAGGTTTTGTAACCTCATTTCACCAACATACACTGCCAAAGAAAGGTCGGATGCCACTGTCACTGCACGATGCACAACTGGGGCACCTTGGTCGCTGAAGTTGAGGAAAAGTACTTGTTTCTGGGTGACCACCTTGGTCCAGAAGTCAGTAAGAGAGACGTCACCTACTGCTGTCAATAGGTCTTCGAAAGTGGCGATGACATTCTTCTTTTCTTCCGCTTCGTGAGACTGCTCTGATAACCGTATTGCTCCCTGCAACGCTTCTGCGTCCACACGAGCGCGCTTTTCTTCTGGGCTCTCGCGTGCAGAAGTTTCTTGGCGGGACAAGTAAGCAGGGCAATTAGGGAAAACGCTTGGGATTGCAGAAGGCTTCAAGCGCCTCAGCTTGAGGGGTACTTCAATTACTTTCCCAGTCATGCTGTCAGTGTAGCTGGTGGAGTCTACGAAGTCACTTTCAAGAAAGTGGTGCTCACAGACCTGGAACATAAGCACAAACAACGAAGTATAAGATGAAAGCGACAGAATTATACATAACAGTTTTACAGAATTATATGATCCCAGTGCGCCGTTTGTAAAGATTAAGACAAATTCTTTCGCTTTATTTATCTGCTTCTGTACGGCAACCACGACCACGCAGTCAACAAGAATGACGTCTCACTTAGGGAACCTTGCTTTGAGACGGTAAACCACGAGCCATCGTTTGTTTGGCGCTCAAGTAGTGGCGGACGCCCCACATGTAAAGTAACTACGCCGTCTACATCGTATGTTCGACGCAGGCAGTTTTACTCGTGAATACATTGCGCTAAATCAATTTCTGATTAGGCATAACTGCACATGAGCAACCTGAGGCGTAAACATGGCACTATACACTTTACGGCACGAACATGGAACAATATTACACTGAAACACACCATTTGCTCAGTTGTCAATCCTTAAGGTGCATAGCGCGTCGTAACGGTTGCATGCGTCACGCAATTAACTAGACTCTGTTCCCACGAGAAGCACGACTGCCGGAAAACAAACGGGAACATGTGCTTACCACAGTGTACTTCGTAGGTGTGAAGTTTTCCCGCCGCACAGCCTTCGTCCACGCTGCATTTTGGGCGGGGTCCAACGGAAACCTGTACACACGTGCTCGCGGTCCATGTGCGTAGTTCGATCGACAGTTCGGTGCACAGCAGCACCCAGGCATTTTCGCCAGCACACCAGCAAAAGTTCATGCAGCACGCCTGAGCAACTGAGTACAAAGAAAATGCACGCCAACAAGCTGCAGCACTGGAAATAGTGTCAGCGTTGCCAGATGCTTAGGCTGATACCGCTAGCATTGGTGCTCTTATGTATTCAAGCCTGCAGTATATCGCAATTTTTATAACCAGTACTGCGCTGCATGAATAGACCATGATGTAAATGAAAACACATATAAATTTTCCTTATTTTCTGCATCAAAAAAACACCTTGCGGCTGCCACATTCAATAAACAGTTTTCTACCCACAACGCGCATGCTGGCAGATGGATTCCGTACTAGCCACAGCCGAAAGCCAAGCCGAGCCGCGCCAGTTCCCGTGCGCGCCGTGCGCTCTCTCTGCTCGCGTAGTCGGGCTTGCAGATCTCACTGTGGTGACGTAGTTGGTGTGGAGAGGGGGACATGCGCGGGCCTTCTCCTAGTTCTAGGTGGTGTTGCTTCAGTGCACATTTAACATCATACGCAATTGGAACTGGCTTCTTCAATCTCACAACTGAAAAAATGTTTTCTAGGCAATCTTGTATCAGCCTAGCAGTGAGGAGGTACAAGTAGCCACGCCTCGCCAGGAGCTCCTCTGACAGGCGCAGCACAACAGTCGTCGCCACCAAAAGACCGGCCTGCGATAGCTTCCAGTGTGCAGTTGCTCCTATGTTCATCCGAGTGAACGTAGCTCATGCCAGCTGCAATGTCCCACCTGCTTCCTGGTGCTTTGCGCGGTCAAAATGACTTAAAGCAACGATTAAAGCAACGATGGGGTGTCGTGATGACATCAGTGTACCACTTAGTGACAAGGTAAAAAAACCAGGCAGTTGCTTCAGCTTCCGGCTTCAAGATTTTGAGCTTGATTAGGTAGCGAATGGCAGGAGGTGCCTCACGGAACAACTGCACGGCAATGTTTACTTTCATTTTTGCGAAATGCCCATCGCTGACATGAATATCCGACTGCTTGTTAGCGATTTTTAGGTCATTTTTTTATCATATTCGAGAACAGCCTCAACATGTTCAAGGCTAACAGTTTTTCTTGGGATGCAATGCTCCTCTGTCGTCTCCTTCCCCAGGGTAAAACTTCTTGAGCGGAAAAGCTGCCCACGTATGTTTTTCAGAACGTGAGCAGGATCAGCCATGAAATACAGCTCCCTACCATCCAAGTGAGGGTGTGGTATAGAGCAGACAGTTTCCGAGTGCTATGGCTTGAAAACTGCAGCAGCTGCCACACTTTCCTGTTGGCACTTCCCATGTCACTTGTTACAACAAGAACTCTCAAGGACACCTCAAAACAAAGCGCAATTAAATGAAATATAAGCTCCTTTAAAAGGCTTCCGTCAGTAGAACGACCAGTGAAGTGGTAAGCGATGACCTGTTTCCACCTTGTGTTTAGACCTCCAATCATAAACACGAGAGCATGGTTTGCAACGTTGTCAGTTGACTCTGGAAGTGTCGTACCCCCAAAAAAGCAATCCAGAGAGCGGTCATGTTCAAACCCTTGACTAATTTCCATCTCATTCATGAAGAGGACGCAATCTTTCTCAATGTCCTCCATTGTTTCTGCCTTGCGCTTCAGAACACCCAGCACTTCAGTAAGTACACCAGGCAGAAAGCGAATGTTTTGCATTCTTCGAATCAATGTCCGGTTAGATGGCAGTGGGTATGACAGAGACCTGAGCAATTCGTAGCCTGTTGTACCACATGCGTGCTTTATTTGGAGGGCTACGCGTATAGTCTGAACTGACCACTTGCGAACCCTGCCTTTTGTTGTTAGAGCCTTCGTTTGATCTGCAGCAAGAAATGTCGATGATCTTAATGTGTTCAGTTCTTGCTGACCTAACCTTAGTTTCTTGTTTAGAAACTGTTTAGTTTCTTGTTTAGACTACGTACTTTTGATCTCGTCTGCTCATGCAGTTTTACCAAGTTTTTAAACCTTCTGCTTAAGTCGGCGTTTTTTTTCCGGAGCTCAGAATTTTCCCGATGCAACATTGACAATGTGGGATTTGTGCTGCCTCCAAACATAAATGCAGCTGGCATGGTTGACTGCTCTTGTGCAGGAGACCTGCATCATTTGCTACGGTGTTGGGAGGGAGCTGTTTCAGATTGGCTACGGATGCACCTGAAGTAGCGTTTGTGTCGCTTGCTAGATTGTTGGCAGACAGGTGTGGTGGAGAGGCGCCTACTGTCTCATGATGACACCGAAACTCACCAGCGCTGTCTGCGTCATTGGCTGGAGGAACAAATGGCAGGGGCACACACACGGATGTACACTCGCACCTACACTCAGCAGCACTGTCCGCATCACTTTCTAGATTGTTTGTAGGCGGTAGAGGAAATGAGACGACTCCCAATGCGTGAGCAAGCCTGGACTCAGGATCACTGGTACTGATGCTTGCTGCCTTGTTGATGGGCAAACGTGACAGCAAGTGGGCTTCTGGAGGATCACCTCTCGCGAATTCAGCAGTTTCATGAGGAAAAGCATCTGGCTGTAAAACGGCTGCTGAAACATGAGCACTCAACTGAACACTGTTCTCAAAACTCGTTATGTCGCAAGGATCCATAGGCAGCTGTGGAATGTCTCCAGGTGGGCAAACACGTTTGGTGTTAGAAGAATTCGCAGGTTTCATGGCAGAAGTGTGCTTCTTCGGGGACTTCCGGTGTTTTGGAGCAGCTGGAAAAAATTAAACATACGAACATTACTACAATAACATGCTTGCCTATGCAATCTCACTCAGCAAACAGTTCCAATACTCATTTTCGCTTTGCAGACTAAAAATTACAAGCAAAATGTTATCAGGCACTTTCTTGCATGGTCTGCACCATACAAAGCATATTACTGTTCCTTATAGATGTTCCGAGTAAAAAATAAGACGAAACGCCACAGTGCAATTGAGGCAATGCATTTAGATGAGTTTGTCTTTTCTCTGAATGACCCAAACTAGATTCACAAATTCAAAGGAAAATTAAGTTTGTGTCCATATTACGGCTTGATATAACGAGTTCAGATATGTTCTTACCACGATAGGGAAAGAGAGTTGGGACAGCATCCGGCCTCAGCTTTTTCAGTCCATCTTGTCGGTGCTGCTCAAAACTTGAATCTTCAAAGTGTGCCAAAAATTAAAAAAAAGTCAATCTTAACAATATTTGAAAACAACATAATGCATTTGAATTACTCGCTAGCAAGGCAGAATGCCCGCTTTCGCGCGTTTTTTATCTTTTGGAATGGAAATAATTGCTGTATGGGAATTTTCATGGCGCGGCTCGCCACAGAAATCTTTGCAGACTTTAGTGACCCCTCGTACGCAGTTTGGCAGTGTTGCAAGAAAGAATCAATCATATATTCCACCCCCGCGCGGAATATCAGCACTCTGGCACTCTTCCCGTCAGGGGACACCTCGTAAACAGGGTGGCTAGTTTTTTAATGCAATCTGTCCTCCATCTTTCAGCAAATATGATGTTACCTGATCCTCACCAGCAGCTTATCCTCTTTGTATGCTCTCCAAAGCTTTTCTTCTTCTATCATTACTGGTGGTGTGTCATCTGGGTTACTGCCAATTCTTATAGTATTAAGGTCGTGGTTGTCCTGGCTACTGTACAGATCTCTGTAAAACTCCTCCGCTATTTTAACTATCCTATCCATATTGGTAGTTATTTTGCCTTGTTTATCCCTTAGTGCATACATCCGATTTTTGCCTATCCCAAGTTTCCTCTTCACTGCTTTGACGCTTCCTCCGTTTTTCAGAGCGTGTTCCATTTTCTCCATGTTATACCTTCTTATATCGCATACCTTATGCCTATTAATCAACTTCGAAATCTTTGCCAATTCTATTTCTCTCATTATTTGAACTCTCATAATTTGATGCTTCTTAATGAGATTCTTCGTTTCCTGGGAAAGCTTGCCAGTGTCCTGTCTAACTACCCTGCCTCCAACTTCCACTGCACACTCCGTTATGATACTAGTCAGATTATCATTCATTGTATCTACGCTAAGGTTGGTTTCCTCACTAGGAGCCGAGTACCTGTTCTGAAGCGAGACTGAATTTCTGTATTTTTCCTCTCACTGCTAGCTCATTGATTGGCTTCTTGCGAATCAGTTTCTGTCGTTCCTTCTTCAAGTCTAGGCCGAATTCGTGACCGCACCATTCTATGGTCACTGCTTCGCACCTTGCGGTTTCCTCGTTTTCGATAGAAGGTATTCAAAATCCGTAAATTACTGCGTTCTGCAAATTCTACTAGTAGCTATCCTCTGGCAGTTTCTAGTTCCGATGCCATAATCTCCTACTGCATTGTCTCCAGCCTGCTTCTTACCCTACCTTTGCATAATGTCTCCTATCAGTATAATATACTGTGTTTTTACCTTACTCGTTGCCGATTCCACGTCTTCATAGAAGCTTTCAACTGAAGCGTCATCATGGCTGGATGTAGGCGTGCAAGCCTGTACCACCTTCATCTTGTATCTTTTATTCAGTTTAATTACGATACCTACCACCCTTTCATTAATGCTATTGTATTCCTCTATGTTGCCAGCTATGTTTCTGTGAATTGGGAACCCCACTCCCAGTTCTCTTCTGTCAGCCAAGCCCCGATAGCAAAAGACGTGTCCATTCTGTACCACCGTATAGGCCTCATCTGTCCTCCTAATCTCACTGAGCCCTATTATATTCCATTTAACACCCTCTAGCTCCTCGAATAGTACAGCTAGACTTCCCTCACTAGATAAGGTTCTAGGGTTAAACGTTGCCAAGTTGAGGTTCCAATGGCGGCCTGTCCGGATCCAGAGATTCTCAGCACCCTCTGCTGCGTTGCAGATCTGACCGCCTGCCGTGGTCAGTTGCTTCGCAGCTGCTGGGGACTGAGGGCCATGAGTTATTTGACGTATGCATGTGGGAGGTAGTGGCCAGATCCAGTGGCCAGATCCTGCACCAGGGTGGCCAATCCTTCTCTGGTGAGGGAGTGCGTTCCC